AAAGTAATTTTCTATTTTTTCTTTTGCAGTTGTTTTACTTCACGTAAAATTTTATTCATGGAGGAGGCCTGAAAAACGTGTTATCATAATCTTGAATACATTTTGTGCAAACCTAACAATTTGTTTTGTTCGGTTTTCACGAATCCTACGTTGGTATCGTCAAAGACCTATATCCTTAGTCCTCATATTTATTCGTGGATGTTTGTGCAACCACTGCGACATCATTTTTTCGAGTGTCATTGCCTACTGAGGAGCTTAGTCTTGGAGCCTTGAGAATGTTGCAGACCATTTGCATAGATTTTCGTAACGGCCATGAGGTGGTGTGCTCGCTTCGCAGAGGGGGGTATTCGTATTCGACTGACGAGGAAACATCTCCAGAGTGTTGTCCAGGAAGAATGACTTTGTGACGAGGTGTTGCAGTTTGACCCAACCCTAGTTGGCAACGCTAGCTTGTTGGGTTGTCCCTTTGTTTTTTTTGGTTCTTTTTTTTTAGGAAGTTCATCGAAGACGGATGTCGACATGACAAGGTTGCAATATGGACAAAAGATCTAATTACTTTTCCTTACTACATGTCAATCAATGACAGTCATTTAAATTCACAAACATCGAGTGCAGACGACACTATTATGTATCCTCGATGGAGGATGGACTACGACGACTCCCTCCAATAAGATGATTTAGGGTTTTTCTTCCTATTTGTTTGCCAACTTTACGAGATACCTCAGTGACGAAGCACTTCGTCAACTCGGTCAATACGTGAAACTTATCATCCTGGACCCCAAGGTGGTTGTTGATGGCGTCCCTCAACAGTCAGACAAGTCAAGCAACAGTGTTTTCATGCTCGCCTTGGTTTTTATTCTGCCTCGTGGTCATAATCCCTCATTCTCAATTGCCCAAAGCGACATTTTTTACATCAGGCAAAACAAATTGGGGTGAACAGACTCCAAGGCTCAGAATGATACCCCTATTTTGAAAGACGCAATCTTCATGAAGTCGCAAGGCCACGAAGAGAACTGCGAATCTATTATCACTACCAGTCATCCACCTCGAGTTATGGTGTTGTTTTCATGTGTCTCTTGACAACGTCCTTCAACTTCCTCCTCTCAAACAACCGGCCGAGTCGAGCTATGATATACTCATCTTGAATTTCACTTATTTTCTTCGCTTTAGCGCATTTGAACAGCGTCCTGTCCCATGTGCCCACCACCAGGATGAGCATTGCGGTACACATATTCTAAGGCGCATCATGACGCTCTGATTAGAGTTCATATTTTCGACAACCAATTTCATGTTGTTCTTAGTTAATTGATTTGAAATAAGATGTAAAGAACAAGAAATCAGATGTCGAGTAATCACTTAGGTCAAGTAAACGCTTAGATGTCGATGTTAATATCCTAGCCTCGTGCTTTGTTGCCTTTCTCTATGTGAATATCGTTGCCTCGTGATACAGTGTTTTTTAAAGGTTCTTTATTTCGTCAGTTACTCGTGGGACACTTGGAGGGCAATATTTATATTTGTTTTTTTTTTAAGGGGTTATGATTTAAATATCGCTGCCTCGTAATGACTATTTTTTTAATGGTTCTTCATTTCAAGGACTTAGGCAGCATTATCCTGCCTTGATTTGTTTTTAGGTTATACCCATATGAAATTAGTACTTTTCGTCAGTTACTCGTGGGACAATCTTTTTCTTACTGAACATTTTGTATACTCGTGTTCCTATGACTCGACAATCTGGTTCATTTGGCAGAGGATGTTCGTGTAAAGATCTTAATGATATTTTTTTTGGACATTGTCTCCAAATTCGTGCATGTCTTCTTTTTACTTGGGAGTTTATGGTTTGAAAGTTTTCCCTCCTTCCCAAACCCTCTTAACATTTTTCGGCTTGCGCCTCTTCCACAACTACCTACCCCCACCCCCCCCAACCTCTTAACACTATCCAGCATGTCCATATTCTGTGTTCAAAGTGACCTCCTTTACCGATTGTTGATATGCCAAGAAACGTTGTTGTATCTACTGAATGCTGATTAGCAGTTCTATATCACAAATGCGAATTTATTCGCAGTTCGAACGTTGTGCCCTTTTGAAAAGTCTTCATATGCAAGTTCACCTGAATGGATGATTCACTAAAATGAGTTTTTTTGTTATCGCATGAATGTGCGTTTGCTTTCATGGACTTACCTTTATCTGCAAGTTTGTCAAAATGGTTACCTTTTGTGTTATTGTCAGAATAAATGTTTGTTTTTTATGGACAGACCTTAAGTTTTATGTTATGTCCGATGCTGTGTAGCACGGTGAACGTGTTCGGAGGGTTTTGGGCGCTTGTTCGGGCGAACATGTTCGTGTTGGGAGGGTTTTGGGCGCTTGTTCACACGAACATGTTCGTGTTCGAGCACGTTGCTACGCTGGTCTGATGCAAAATCTTGAAAATGAGTGATTTTTTCCTTGGAACAAGCCTTAACCAAGGCGGTCGATGCGTCCAACAATATTCACAGGTAGTTCCGCCTTGGACGTAGATGAGTCCAACAATTTTTCACTCTTGTGGTATTGTGAAAATCCGCTTTGCTTAAGCGTCTCAGAAATTCAGTCCCTGCAATCGCTACTTCGACTCCTTCGCCTTTCCTCACATACATTTTCTTCCCACTTTGAGTGCGTCGCTAATTCTCTGTCAAGTATCACTTTAAAGTTCATGAGCGACCTTTACCTCACCTTAACAATATTTAGTTGTTTGCTGGTTAACCCTCCTTACAAGGATTTCAATATTTTTTGCTATAAATATACGTATGATGCTAAGGGTGCTAGAGGGTTGGTCCACGAGCTAGGCGTTGTGCATGATACGTAGCAAGCCGACTCCATCAATTCGCTACTTGTCGGGCGGGGTCATGCCCTTCGTAAGGTGTTGTGTCATTCAAGATGATTCAGCGAAAATATCTGGAGATGTAGAGTGGCTGCCTCTTGAATGTATTTCGCCTGACGCTTGTGTTTTGATCTTGCTTGCTACTCAACTATCATATTGATGGATCAAGTTGCACCACAATTCTTAGCATTTCTATCTCTCGATGTACAAACTGTAAAATTAGTAATCACATCTGTCAGCAGAAAATCGATAAACGGCCAAGGGTTAAATGCATCTGCCAAGTGTCATTCCAACGCTTAACGACTTAGTATGGGTTAATTCCTTGTATACAAATTAATGTTTGGTTTAAGATTAGTCCGTCCATTTTTTCTCGCTGACATTTCTATCCTGCTTAGAACACCTCATAGCCTCTTACGACTACTACAAAGTTCAAGAGCCACCTTTATCGCACCTTCACAATAAAGGTGGATTTCTGATACTCATTATCGAATAATCAAAGCATCACTTCTCGTTGTCGCTTTTGCAATTTTTGACACCCCTTTTTTTTTGCTAAAACGGGTCTATAAAAGGTCAATCAAGGGTGAACAGGTTCATATTAAGGATGAACTAAATCATAACCATTGTCGCCTATACCATAAAGTTTTTAATTGTGGATCTTTGCTTAACGTTGTAAGTGTCAGTTTAACACATAACGGCTTAGCATAGAACTTAACCGCTCTGTATACGTGATCCTTAAATTTGGGTGCGGCGAAAAAGAAACAAAATTTCGACTTGGCGCACCAGCTGAGGCCAGTGAAAAACAAGACCTAAAGATGCAACAAAGCAGAACTTGACATTGCAATCGCTCAAAATACGCCTCCTTCTGATTTCTGTGTGAGGAAAGTGAAATAAAACTTGGACAATGCGCATCGGCAAAAAGGGGTGATTAGGGGTCCTAGGGGTCTGCAGATGTCATAGGCCTTGTTACGAGCTGGTGGTTGATTGGCCGAGTCTTCAAACAACAATTTGTAGTATCAGGCGAAGTGGTGAGGATGTGTTATAGCCTGTGCTACAAGTTGCAGGTTGATGAGTCGATTCCTCCAACCGACAATTTGTAATGTAGTTGGGTCTCACAAACCCGTAGTTTATTATGAGTTCAAGAGTGGTAGTAAAAAGAAAAAAATGTGATTTTAAGGGGGTTAGGGTGATGTGGTGGGGTGGGGGGCGGGGTGGAGTTTCCGCAGGTTGCATGCTGGAAAACTTCACCAACTAGTTAATTTGCAGAAGTCGCTTCATCTTGTGAGACCCATAACACTGTCAATTTTAAGGAGGTTACAGTGCTAGGGTGGGGCGGGAAGGGTCAAATTGAATATGTGCCATAAGCTTTGTTGCAAATTGCAGGTTGATGGGTCGAGTGGTCCAATGCACAATTTATAGTATTATCTTCTTATCATGGTTTGAGACGCCTTCATCATCTTGCGAGACCCATAACACTGTCCTTTTCTATTGCATAGAAATTTAAAAACAACACAGTGACTTACGATTGAATGTATTCAATTGGATTTATTTTTATTTATGTCACACCTCCATTCACATTAGCAGCATGGATTTTAGCTTTGTTACAAAGTACGTTGCAGCTTGTACGCACCCTCGTACGAGTACGGACTCGTACTCTTGTACTCGTACGCTACTCGTATGCTAGGCGCCTCGTACGAGTTTTTTTTTTTTATTTATTATAAATTCGATATTTTTTATTTATTTTTCTCAAATTCTAATAAGAATCTGAAAATGATGCTCAACCAAATGTTGCTTGTTTTGTGTTGTTGCATCACATAGTTTGTTTTCGGATTTTTTTGATGATTTTTTTTTATTATTATTTTTTTTCTTGCTTTTTCGTACGGGGGTGTACAAGACGTACATGTTCCCGTACAGGTTTCCGTACAGATCCCGTACAAAAATAACCTGTACATTTCGTACGGGAAGCCCCCGTATGTGTACTCTATGCAACGTAGGTTACAAAAAAACGAACAAACAAAATATTTACTTTTAACAAAATGACATTGTGTATTTGACATTATTTTATTATGACTTATGTGACACTATCATGTAATGATTGAAATTACAGTTATTGCAGCCCTTAAACTAAAACTTTTTTTTTGAATCTCAGGTCTGGGTGGAATGCGTTGAAGGCAAGTTTATCAAGAGTGAATAGTGGGCGACGAGGCCTTGCTATTTTGAACAATTCCTCGAAGGCAAAGTAAGCACAAACGAGGAAAATTGAGCAGTTATCCGATTGTGATACTTTTTACTTCACTTTTAAGAAGGTATGTCGTGCTTATCAGTTCGAAGTCGACAGATTCAATGAAAATGTATCATCACATAATGACATATGATTCAATCGTGACAATTTTTTTATTTTTTTTTACTTTGTTTTTTTTTCGCTAAGCCCTTGGAGAGTTTAGACTCTAAGCTCGTTATCTTACTAATGCAACCTAAATTTTAATGGGACTTAGCTTCTTCTATTATTGTTTGAGTGTGCATAATGGACTGCTTATAAGAGTGTGCCTATCACTTTTATTCTCATGTTAACTTTTGTATCGTGGTACAATTTGATCTTTCCATGCATCCATTCAGACTTTTGTTATTTTATTATTACATTATGTTATATGTGTATTTTACAACTTTTCACTCTTATGATCTTAGATTTACCATGTTTCTCCTTCATTTCCAATGTTGTTTACGCTTGAAAAATTCCTCAAAGGCAAAGTAAGCACAAGCGAAGAAAAATGAATAGGCTATCCAATTGTGATACATTTTACTTTACTTTTTAAAAAGTATGTCATGCTTATCACTTCGAAGTCAGCAAATTGAATTAAAATGTATCCGATTCATGAAACAATGACATATGATTCAATCGTGACAACTTTTTTTTTTTTTTTTACCTTTTTTTTTTTTTGCTAAGTCATTGGAGAGTTCATACTTTAAGCTCATTATCTTATTAATGCAACCTCAATTTTTATGTGATTTTGCTTCTTCTAACTTTCTTTGAGTGTGCATAATGGAGTGCTTATAATGGTGTACCTTTTACTTTGAGTCTCATGCTCACTGTTGTATTGCCGTACAGTTTGATCTTTCTATGCATTCATCTAGAGTTTTTTGCATTTCATTATTACATTATGTTATATGTGTATCTTACTGCTTTTCACTTTTACATTCTTAGATGTCGCATATATCTCATTCATTTCCTATGTTGTTTGCGCTTAATAGCTGGATAACCAGAATGACCGGTGCTCAGGACAGGCCAAACGCCGAGCCCGAACGATCGAATGTACGAGGATCCCTGCCTCATATTCAACCCAAACACAAAAAAATTTTTTAATGTTTTTTTAGTTTTTTTGTTGGAATTGTTTGCGGAGCGGGTTTTTTTTGCAACCTTTATTTTTTCCTTAAAAAACAATCTAAGGGGAGAGGAACGTTTCATGCCAAATGGAATCAACCCTTATAACATCCCCATGTGTGTGTGTGTGTGTATGTGTACATGGGGGGGGAGCGGAGGCGACCCCTCCCCATCCAATGAATCAATCAATCAATTAATCAAACGAAAAAATAAAAATTTAAAAGGAAAGCAGCATGTTTGACGTGTATGTGTGTGTGCGTGTGTGTGTGTATGTATGTGTAGGCGGAGGGGGAGGGGGTGACTGCTCCCCAACAATCAATCTGTCAATCGAAGAAGAAAATGAAAACAATGTTTGATTGATTGATTGATTGATTGATTGATTGGTGGATTGGTTGATTGGTTGATTGGCTCATTGGTTGAGGTGGGAAGGGGGGGGGAAACCCCACACGAACAAACAAATCAATCAATTGACCAATCAGTCAATAAATATACATGAACTAATCAATCAATTAATAGAAAATGATTTATTGGCTGATTGACTGATTGATTCACCGATTATAAGAAGAAGAGGGACTTTAAACAAGAAAAAATAATAATAATGATAATAGATGCAGACACTCATACACACACATAAGGTCACGAAAGCCTGAAAATGTGATTCGGGTGGAAAACACTAATTTCTGTTTTGGAGGTAGTATTTCGAAAGAACATTTAGATGCAAGGCCGACAAACAAATTCCTTCGTCTGCAAGTTGTCCGATCTATAGACATCTTTCGCAGAAGTTTTTCGAGTGATCGCTAAGGAGGCGTTGTCCGAGATCCCGGATAAAGTTTTTGGCAAAAAAATAAAGAAGAGAATTTATTTTTTTTTTTGGGGGGGGGGCGGGGGTCTGCACTCCACTAGGGGACCCCCCAAAGGACAATTCGGTCCATCATGAGCAAAAATGAAAAAAAAAATGATAAATAAAAGGGGGGAGGGGCGGGAGTTAATGGCAGGTCCACTTCTACACACGACGAGGAGGAGGAGAAAAAAAAAAAGAGGAGGAAGGCAACGAGGAGGGTCGTAACGAAGTTGTTTTATTTTGTTGTTGTCAGCACCTCGCCCTTTCAATGACCTCTCTCTCTCTCTCTCTCTGATTGCAACTTTTTTTTCGAAATACACTAATAATAATGTTTTGTTTACATTATTTAGTTTTTGAGCTACAAAGTTACTGCCTACGTTCGAAATAATACCTGAGACTGCCACACATCATTTTCAGATAAAGTGAACATCTCTTTGCTATGGTCGATAATCCCCTTTTTAAACTATGAAACATCAACAAACTTTTGCGACTATCTGTGTAGCTATATACATTCATGTCTTGAGACCGGACAACCATTGAAAACATAATTTTTTTTCTTCCGTTTTTTATTTTTAACTCATGATTGCCTACGAATTTGAACATGACTGCAAGGAAAAAGTTGCTTGGATTGTTATTTTACATAACATATATTATTCTAAGATTTTTTTGAGAAATGTTTTGCTTTTTTTTCAATATTTTTTATGTTCGGGTTCGGAGGGTTTTGGACGCTTGTTTGTGTCTGGGGAACATGTTCGCATTCGCCTCCGAGCACGAACATGGTGCTACGTAGGTTTATGCCATCCTATCTGATTTCGAAAACTTTTGTAGTCACAGTCTTCAATTAAAATGCCTCTTATGGATCATTGTCGCTCCGTTTCTATGTCGTATCTTTCTTTATATTTGCTTGCACCTTGTTACAAGTTGACAGTTGGTAGTCAATTGGTTGTGAACGAACGAATGAGAGACACTTCTCTGTTCTCAAATATGTATAATCTCAATACTTCCGGCACAATTTTCTTTATCAGTGTAGTAATTGATTGTAATGCACATATGGTGAACCGGGGATGCTATTTCCGTTGAATTTTGCACCTTTTCACCGAATTGCATTGGAACTGTCTCATTGTGCTGATTTTTTGCTTTTTTCTTCTTTTTTTTTCCTCTTGTGATAAATATGTGCTTTAGGGTACATAATGTGTTTAGTTTTGACATGTTTGGATCAATAATGAAAGCGTTGGCATCTATGTAGCATCGTGTTCGGGTTCGGTGACTGAACCAGAACGTTCGCGGCCGAACGCGAACGAGCGCCAAAACCTCCCGAACGCGAAGATAATTAAAAAAAAAAAAAAAAAAAAAAAAAAAACATTTCTCAAAAAAATATGAAAAACTTATATGTTATGTAAAATAATAAAAAAAACAACTTTTGCCCTAGGGGTATGCTTAAATTCGTAACCAAACTCGAGTTAAAAATCAAAACAATAAAATATGTTTTTTTTTTTTTTTTTTTTTTAATATGTTCGGCCGAACACGTAAGGGGGGCGTTCGGTCGAACACCCGAACATGTTCGGACCTATGTTACCAAACGTACACGTACGGGGCCTTTCCGTACGAAACATACAGATAATATCTGTACGGGAATCTATACGCCCTCGTATGACCCGTACGAAAAAAAAAAAAAAAAAAAAAAAAAGTTGATCCAAAAAATCCGAAAACATATATGTGATGTGAAATCCCAGGGCAAGCAACATTTGCCTGAGCACCATCTGCAGAATCTTATTAGAATTGGAAAAAGAAAAAAAAAACAGTAAAAAAAAATTAAAAAAAATCGTACGGGCCTTTGAGTACAAGTACCGTACAAGAAATAAGTACAACTTGTACTCGTACGGGAGTGAGTACGAATCACAACGTAAGTTCGGACGTTCGAAAAAGTTCCGAATATGTTCGGTGTGGTACACAGGTTGGCATTTCGTTAAATTTGTTTGGTGCTTTATTCTAACTCCGATAATATTTTTGTGTTAGGTTTTTATGATGATTTTTTGGTTATTTTATTCATTTTTCTGGCCTATTTTTTTATTGTATGTTCGGACGATGGACGCATATCGTTCATTTTTGGAATTTTCGATGGATTTGACACTAAAATTACTGGTAAAAACGACGAATATTTGACCCTTCTTTAGCCGTCTCTCGCGACTGAACAAAATAGGCAATACTTATTTGTCTTTGTAAAAACCTCATTGCTTTGATGTTGTCCCGATTGTCTTTCTCCTCTTTTACATGTGTAAATTTCAAAACATGTGTTGCTACTTGTACCCTCGTACGGGTACGGATTAGTACTCCTGTACTCGTACGCTAGGGGTCGCATACGAGGTTTTTTTTTTTTTTTTAATCTGGGATTCTTTGTTTTTTTCTCGCAAATTCTAATAAGAATCTAGAGATGATGCTTAACGAAATGTTTCTTTTTTGTTGTTGTTGCATCACTTTTTTTTTTTGAAATTTTGTTATGATTTTTTTTTTTTTTTTTTTTTTACTAGGGCGTTTAAAACGTACGGATTCTCATACAGGTTCTCGTACAGGTTCATGTATAGATCCCATATATATATTACATGTACATTCCGTACGAAAAAACCCTGTATGTGTATGCTATGCAATGTAGTTTGAAATTTTCATGCCATCGTAGAAATTAGAGGTCCTTGACAAATATAAAAAAAAACGAAGAACAAAAGAGACGTTTATTAATAGATTTATAATAGCAATATGAAGTGTTTGTCTCCGAGRAAAATAGCACGAAGATTATGGCAAATAAGAGAAGATTGGCAATCGGCATGGGTGTATCACGGAAGGGTATGTAGTGGCAGAAAAACGAGCTTCTTGTTTTTCTCTCATGCCCCGTACTTGATTTTCTAATTTTTTTTTTTTTTGGCGAGGGTGCATGTTCGGTCTCAAGAATAGCGTTTTCACCCCTAGACGCCCGGACCCCTAATGGGGCTCGGGGGTCGAGAATAGACAAACCTGTTGAATACACCTTGTGATATAATAAAAAAAATAAACTTCATGAATCATCAAATACGGAATTGTATGTTCTCTAATGAGACTGCAGTAAGTTATCGCAGACCATACAAAAAAAAAATTCAAATCAACTTATTTTTTAGGTTACCGGCAAGGTCATGAAAGGACAAAGGAAGGTTCAAAAAAAAAAAAAAAAAAAAAGAGTTATGCATAAAAATAACTGAACGTTTTTTGCCTCAGGGTCACATCTAAATTTTTTGCCTAATTCGAAATAAAAAATAGATTTTTTTTAATTTTTTTTTTATTATTTTTTTTGTATGTCTGAGCAAGTGGTCTGAGGCCAGTTTGGAAGCCTTACTTATGAAATAATAAAGTTTTGATTTATATTTTTAGTTACAACATCCTGACTTTACGCTAGAATATAAAGTTGTAATTGACAACGCGAGTTTTGGAAATCCCGAAGTGTATTGTCACTAACAAAAGCATGAACACATGTAAGGATGTAAAGCTAAAATCCAAAAATTAAATATTTTGTACAATCTGCAGATTACGCCTTATATTTTA